GTTTTATTGACTATGCAAAGGCATTCGACTGTGTGGATCATAACAAATTATGGATAACATTGCAAAGAATGGGAATTCCAGAACACTTGATTGTGCTCATGAGGAAACTGTACTTAGACCAAGAGCAGTCATTTGAACAGAACAAGGGGATACTGTGTGGTTTAAACTCAGGAAAGGTGTGCGTCAGGGTTGTATCCTTTCACCATACTTATTCAATCTGTATGCTGAACAAATAATCCAAGAAGCTGGACTATATGAAGAGGAATGCAGCATCAGGATTGGAGGAAGACTCATTAACAACCTGCGATATGCAGATGACACAACTTTGCTTGCTGAAAGTGAAGAGGGCTTGAAGCACTTACTGATGAAGATCGAAGATCACAGCCTTCAGTATGGATTACACCTCAACATAAGGAAAACAAAAATCCACATCATGATAAACGGAGTAAAGATTGAAGTTGTCAAGGATTTCTTTTTACTTGGATCCACAATCAGCGCCCATGGAAGTGCAGTCAAGAAATCAAAGGATGCATTGCATTGGGCAAATCTACTGCAAAGATCTCTTTAAAGTGTTAACAAGCAAAGATATCACTTTAAGGACTAAGGTGCTCCTGACTGGAGCCACAGTGTTTTCAGTTGCCTCATATGCATGTGAAAGCTGGACAGTGAATAAGGAAGACCGAAGAGGAATTGATGCCTTTGAATTATAGTGTTGGAGAAGAACATTGAATATATCGTGGACTGCCAGAAGAGCAAACAAATCTGTCTTGGAAGAAGTACAGCCGGAATGCTCATTAGAAGCAAGGATGGCGAGACTTCGTTTCACATACTTTGGACATGTTATCAAGAGGGACCAGTCGCTGGAGAAGGACATCATGCTTGGTAAAGTAGAGGGTGATCGAAAAAGAAGACCCTCAACGCAATGGATTGACACAGTGGCTGCAACAGTGGGCTCAAACATAGCAATGATTGTGAGGGTGGCATAGGACCGGGTAGTGTTTCGTTCTGTTGTAT